TACTGTTTTTATATTATATCTTTTATCTAATTGTTTCATGTATCCCTTAACTGCTTAAGTGATTTTGATAGTGATATTACTACCTTCATCATTTAACCTTCCTACTCACTTTATGCGTGGATGATTCCCTACCTTTACTATGTGTTTGCCTTTACTGATGAGCTTTTTCATTTCATAATTTTCATGTTTCTCATTGTGGCCTTTTCTTTTTTCACCTGGAGAAGTTCCTTTAATATTTGTTGTAAAGCTGATTTGATGGTGCTGAACTCTTTTAGCTTTTGCTTGTTTGTAAAGCTTTTGATCTTTCTATCAAATCTGAACGAGAGGCTTGCTGGGTAGAGTATTTCTTTGTTGTAGGTTGCAGGTTCTTCCCTTTCATCATTTAAAATATATCATGCCACTCCCTTCTGGCCTGCAGGGTTTCTGCTGAAAAATCAGCTGATAGGCTTATGGGAGTTCCCTTGGATGTTATTTGTTGCTTTTCCCTTGCTGCTTTTAAAATTATCTCTTTATCTTTAATTTTTTGTCATTTTAATTACACTGTGTCTTGGTGTGTTACTCTTTGGGTTAATCTTGTATGGAACTCTCTGCCCTTCCTGGACTTGGATGACTGTTTCCTTTTCCAGGTTAGGGAAGTTTCCACCTGTTATTTCTTCAAATATGTTCTCAGCTCCTTTTTATCTCTCTTCTCCTTCTGGGACCGCTATAATGTGAATATTTGTACACTTGATATTGTCCCAAAGGGCTCTTAAACTGTCCTCATTTCTGTTTGTTCTTTTTCCTTTTTTCTCTTTAGTGGCAGTGATTTCTACTACTCCATCTCTCAGCTTGCTGATCCATTTTTCTGTATCATTTAGTCTACTGTAGATGCCTTCTAGTATATTTTTCATTTCAGTTATTGTGTTCTTCATCTTTCTCTTTTTATCTTATGTTTTCTCTTTGTTAAAAACTTTTAACTTCTTACTCTGTGCATCCATTCTTGTCCTGAGTTCTTTGATCATCTTTATGATCATTACCCTGGACTCTTTCTTGGGTAGATTGCGTGTCTCCACTTCACTAAGTTCTTATTCTAGGGTTTTATCTTGTTCCTTCATTTAGAACATGTTCTTCTGTCACCTCATTTTGCCTAAGTTGCTGGGTTTTTTGTTTGTTTGTTTGTTTGTTTTTCCGGTACGCGGGCCTCTCACTGTTGTGGCCTTTCCCGCTGTGGAGCACAGGCTCCGGACGCGCAGGCTCAGTGGCCATGGCTCACGGGCCCAGCCGCTCCGCGGCATGTGGGATCTTCCCGGACTGGGGCACGAACCCGTGTCCCCTGCATTGGCAGGCGGACTCTCAACCACTGCGCCACCAGGAAAGCCCCACTGTTTGTATTTTTATGTATCTGTTGGGTTAATTACGTTTCCTGACCTTGGAGAAGTATTCTTCTATAGGAGATGTGCTATGCACCCTAGTAGTGCAGTCCCCTATCATGGCCAAGCTATATGTTCTAGCAGTTCCCTCTATGAGGGCTGCATGTTTCCTTCTGTTGTGGCAGGCTGACTATGTGGACAGTCTGGTAGGCTTGGTTGGCCCCTACTCCGGTTGGTTGCCAGGCCATGGTTTGGCCATGCTTTGGGAGGCTGTTGGCTACTGGTTGGTGGAGCCTAGTCACGAGGCAGCTGACTGCTGTACCCCAGGGGGCCCTGGGGCTAGTCCTGGCTCACTGGTGGGTGGAATCAGGGTCCAGAAAACTTTGGGGCTTGTTGCCCACCTACTGTTGGGTGAAGCCAGGTCTTGGGATTAATGCCGGACTGCTAGCAGTCACAGTTGGGTCCTGGAGTCTGGCTGTAGTGCCCAGGGATCACAGAGTTGGTGTCAGATAACTGGTGTGTGT